TAACAAAGAAGAATACAAAGAACTGCCAACCAAAAATCCCTCCCCCCAAAAAAACTTTTTTTTTTAATTTTGTTTTGAATTTCTCTTCTTCACCTTTTCTGTTTTTTATTTTTTATAATTCAAAAAACTTATCTTTTTTCAACAAAAAAAAAAGGGGTTGTAGGGATTAAAAATCCCTACAACCTCATGTATATATATATATATATATATATATATATATATATTTTTACCCATTATTTAATTGAGGAAAAATATGGTAAATTCGCATCCGCGCCGCAGTCCAGGTCGGTCGCGGACGCGGCCGTTTATACGACCGCCATCCGAGCTGGACCCCGCGGACGTGTTTCATAGGCCTACGCGCGCCATCTTACATACCTACCCYTGAAAACTTACCACCGGAGATCTCAGTTATGACCTGGGACTCCACCCCACATTCCCAAAAATCCTTGGCACACCCCCTTTTCGCACTTCCGGGCCCCCATCCCACTCCGATCAGGAAGTCGCGCTAGGCGTGAGGTTGGTATCGGAGTCGATACGTGGTGAACTCACAGGGAAACGAGTAGGATAGTCGCTCAAATGATCTGGCGAGCAAAGGACGACCTAGACAGCGGAACACGACGCGCCGCGATCTTATAATACTCAGCAGTCGGTCGGTCGGAAAATAGGCCTTCAATATGAACGCCAATCAAGCACCCAACRTTAATGTACAGTTGGGCGGGCCACCTATCCCCGCACCACCCGTTCGAGTTCGCGCACTTGCGCCTCCCCCTGATTTGTGTCTATTCGACCCTGCACATCACCTGGTCGGGGCATGGTTGGCCACCCTACGGGCTCAACAGTACGATAACGATGAAGCCCATATCAACMTCCCCGCCCGACTGGGAGGAGATGCGCGCCATTGGTTTAGCACCTACGCCTGRATTGATCTCCCAACCTTCGASAGARACTTTCTAAATCGATTTGATTACATCCACCCCAAACAAGCTTTCTTTATGATCAAAGATCGTGTACAGAAACCGCTTGAGTCCGTTACAGAATATTGCAACCGTATGTATACGGGCCGTACGTAYGAGKACCCGRGGGCCTGTACGGGCCGTACGTACGGACTTCCGTACGTCCGTACGCGGTCTTCGGGGGGGGGGTCGACCCCGGTTTTCGGGTGGGTGGGTGTCGAGTGTCGTCGGGAGTCCATGGCCCGGTTTTCGGGTGGGTGGGTGTCGACTTCCGTCGGGTTTCCTGATTGGGGTGATGGGGGGTGGGGGTTTAATATTTTTTTAGGGGGGGTTGGAGGGGCGTGTTCGCCGCTGGCCCGCTGCGGGGGGTGTGAGGAGGTGTTGAATGCATTTAAAAATAAATAAAAAATTGGGGCAGGGGAAGGGGTTGTTAGGGGGAGTTGTTTTGTGGTGCATTGGTTCACCGTGTGAGGGTCGTTCTGGGGGTCCGGGAGGGGTTTGGTGACGGAGACATCTGGGGGGAGGGGGCATTTTTCGGGGGTCCTTCGGGAAGTCTTTGCCAAGGTCGTCCTTTGGTTTGCTCTTGGGGAGGGTAGTGTAGTGGTTGTCAACAAATGCATCAAAGGCGAACGAAACACAGGACAAAACAAGTATAAGCGTACATGAAGTTCGTGATTTCAAACAACAACAATTACAAACAGTTTTCAGAAGCATTCGGTTATTTACCATTATCTGCGAGTGACAATCGTTGCATAAATTTAGAAACCACAACATTACAGGGCGAAGAAAGTGTGCAATCGTCTGAAACATCGAGACTGAACTCAATCAAACAATGTGCGAAGAAAGTGTGCAATCGTTTGAAACATCGATAGAAAAGTAGAAGGAAAACAAAAAAAATGCAAGCGCTGCAGCCTGCAGATGCTGCGCCCATGTCTGAATAAAGAGTGCAATCCTCTGAAACATCGATGCGAAAATAAAACGAACAAGAAACAACAATCAGCACCTACTGCACCTGTGTATGGAAAAAATGTGCAATAGTCAAACCATCTGTACAAATACAAATGCAGTCACGATGAGCTGCACAGACCACACCTATGAACACATTACCTCATCCAAACCACTAAATATACTATACACTACTAAGAAATACAGGATGAAAGAGGACCCCCGTGGGACGAAACATCATCGTCGTCCACAATGTCCTTCCTCCTCCTCTGCGGCACCACACCTGTGACACCATCGCTGCCACCTGTGCCGCCTACCGGCCCGTGGGCAGTATCCGGAGCATGAACCCCCCCCTGTGGCGCCGCCTTAACCCCGCGCTGCGCTCGAAGAAGGTCGTACACGGAAACCCTCTTCGGCTGGCCAAGATGCATCTCCAAATCGTCGGTACCCGACTCCCAAACGACTGTTGTCTGTGACGGTCGTTGCGCAGGCACCGCCCTCACATCCTCCCGCAATATACGTCCGGCCATGGTCCTCCCGGGGGGACCACTGTGCTCCGCCTGCTCCCCCCTACCTGTTGTATGCCCCCCAATACGTTGCATCGCCGCCTCAGCAGGTGCTGTCATGGACTGCTTCGTCGCCCGGGTGGAGGCCCTCTACCACCAACCTGCTGTCTCTGCGACAATGTCCCCGGCCAATGCCTCCCGAGTCCGCGGATGTAAAACGGCCAACCCGGGCTGACTCTCCCGCATCGACTGTGTCACTCTCCTCACAATACTAAAACTCTTTCCTGCTCTCATCTTCTTCTTCCGTGATTTGGGAGACGGAGACTCTGCAGGTGTCGGTGCGGGAATCCGTCCCGTGACTGGACCCTCAGCATGTACGGGGGTAGTGGCATCTGTGGTGGACGATTGCAGTAACGGGCTGCACGACACGTAAGCCGGGCCCTCTTCCATGAACCTCCTCGACGCCTCATCCATCCGTCCGCATCGATCTGCCTGCAATGGGTCCTCCCGTGCCTGCCGCTCCAACTCCCCCACCGTCATCGCTCCACCGATAGGCAATATACAAACACCCTAAACCGGTGACGTGGGTCTCTCGCCTGCATCCCTACCGCCCGCACCGCCACACTCAAGCACTGCATCGTCCGTCGCACGATGACCCTCACCACCGCCCGTCTCGAGCATCCGCTCTGTCCGTGCCCTCGACGCAATACTCTGTGTCATCTCGCAACGGCTAGCCAAGTCCTGCGCCCTCTCCCTCTCCTCGCGGTCGATTCTATCCTGCTCCGACTTTGGCGCTCGCTCCTGCACAGGTCGGCAATCCCCATCATTCCCTACTGCACGCTCCTGCTGCCCCGACGAACCCTGTGTCCCTTCTCCTGCCTCCTGCAACATGCTGCTACTGATGTCACCCATGTTGCATGAAGGTATATCCCGGAGTATCTGACTGACGGGCGTAGCTGCTGCGTCCACATCACCACTGCCACGCTCGCCTGCCGGTGTCGGAGGAAGCTCTAACGAAACATTTAAAATACCACTGAAACTGGCACTCAACTGCGCAGAAGTCCTCCGAACCTGTGCAGCCTCGCCAGCGACCTCCTCAGACGCTCCTGCAAACTCTGCAGCGGAGGGAGCGGCCTCTGCAGCGACCTCTGCCGACGCAGCACCAAACTCTGCCGACCYGRCGCCGACCTCTACTGTYGCCGCACCCTCATCAACCCAGTKCACAGTGTGAGTGAACGATGCAGACTCTCGCCTCGCCCGTCCTCCGCCACCATGGCCTGCACCACTTCCTCCCCTGCCTGCACCACTGCCTCCCCCCACACCCGTGCCTGCACCATTGCCTCCCTTGCCTGCACCACTGCATCGGTCGGCACGCTGTCGAACCGACGTCCGCATACCACCTGCAGTCTGTGCACCATCGCCGCCGCCGTCGTCGTCGTCACCACGTACGCGTTTCGGGGAATAGCCGGGATCATCCTCGTCCTCACTGCTGCCTTCGTACCCCTCCCTGTCATCGTCATCGTCGTCGTCTCCCTTGTCAACTATCTCTCGAGTCCCCTCCTCGCCATGTCCAGGACAATCTGTAGGTGGAGGGGGATGTTGCGCAGCGGCTGCAGTGGAAGCAGGAGCACTCGAAGGCGGAGGTGGAGGGGGAGGGGGACGCGGCGCAGCATCTGCAATGGAAGCACGCGTCTAAGGACGCAACATCTCCGCAAGAGGAACAGCGTCGCGACCATCATCAGAATCTCCGGGCTTTAACTCTACTACCAGGTCGTCTGAATCAGACCACGGCTCTGCCTCAATCGGGTCCTGAGCCATAGGATCAGGCTCGGGAAGGTACACGACGTCCAACTCAGTCGTCATGAGCACCGTGGCGCGACGACCGAAATACGTCTCGATGCTGGGCGGAGCCTTCGAAAGGCGATCCTTCGTCCCGCGCTGCATCGGCCGCTCGCACTGCGCCTCCATGACTCGGTCAGCTTGCCGAACACCCTCGTCATGAGGCAGAGGAATAGTGTCCTCTGACTCCTCCTCAACATCCTCCCATCGCAGAACGTACCCTGAACCCCTCCCCTGACAGCGACTCAATCTCAAGTTGGTGGATATCTCCACCAAACGAGCAAGCTTGATAAAACCAAGCTGGTTACGCTTTTTTCAAACAGCACACACCCTTTTTTTTTCATCCATTAAAAAAAAAAAAACGATGCCTAGGTTGCAAAAAAAAAAAACCAATGTCACTTGCCCGGCCGAGCAAAAAAAAATGAAAATAAAAAAATAAA